ACAACAACAAACATGACATGACATGCCAACAACAACAGCCAGAGTAAAAAACAATAATAACATCATCATTATCAATATTATTCATAACAAAAATCATAAACATTATCATAATCATAACCACAGCAACAGCAACAACCACAACATAAGCAAAACAGCAATAATTTTTCATAACCATCATCATCATCAAACAACAACAACACAATAGCAACAACCACAACCACTCACTGAACAAGAAATATAACCACAGCAACACAGCACAATACCTACATAATTCAATTTTTGAAGCTTGACAAACAATGTGTGATATTGCCCTGGATAACAACCCATAATTTCTCCACAACTCAAGATGTCGGCTAAATTGTTATAAGATCTATTTGCATCAAACATGTCATATTAAAGGGTTTTTGAAATATTGATTGATAGGGATCCAAAGTTAACCTCGCCAATCACTTGGAAAAAATGCTCGCTGATCATCTTCACTTGGCGTGCGAAGTCGTCGATGATCAGAAGATTGAGCTGGAGAGGCAAGCTGATAGGTTACGGCTGCAAGACCAGGCAATCGTCCAGCTCAACGATACAGTGGTCAAAATTAAACAACTCTTTGACCAGCAGGTTAAACTCCGTGAAAACCAAGATAAAGCAATCGAAAAACTCAACGAACAGCTAAAAGAACACAAGAAGAATTCAAGCAARCTGGAAAAAGAYGTTAAAKCAAAGTTAWGCGAGCTGGAGAAGGAAAAGAAAGAYGTAAATAGTGAAAAACTTTGCCGTTATCCAGGATTGAATGGCTACGGCGAGCAAATATGGCGGATAAACAACTTTTTGAAAAGACTTTCACGTATAAGGTCAGGTCGAGGCGACGACCCACTCTGTAGCGAGCCTTTCTATACGTCRGCATTTGGGTACAAAGTCTCCTGTTGGGCTTACTTAAACGGCCGTGGAAAAGAACARGGACAGAGCTTGTCTCTATACGCATGCGTCATGTTCGGAGAGTATGACGCAATACTCAAGTGGCCAATCAGACCACAGTATACCTTTATACTAATCGATCAGAATCCGGAAGTCGAAAAAAGAAGGGACATTGAGCGCGTGCGYAAGGTGCATGATTTTAAACGTGATGACGTCAGACGAAAAGGTATCGATCGACCGAAACGCGACGAACGGGCRATAATTGTTGGATTTGATGACTTTGTGTCGTTGGAGAAAATTGAGAATGGACACTACCTTGTCGAGGACACGTTGTTCATAAGGATCTTGGTACATATGCCAGAGCACTGATTGACAGTTACTATGGCTACCTTGAGGATCATGACAGCGCCGTGTGGGATTCCTTTGGATTTCAGTGGCATTGCGGAGTACCTGTGGAACTCTAGATCGAAATTTCTATTGAACAGTGCTCAACATAATCGATAAATCACTTTAATAAAACAGAAACAAAATGAAACACAGTAATGAGACATACAGCGCTTCAGTATTATATCAGGACTAGTCTCCTTCACGYTTACGTGCGCCATCTTGAAAGGTAGCCGTGCCTTTGCATCGAAGCAAAACAATCGTTGAGCATGCAATGATAGATGCCTGTGAATAATTGTCTGTAGGTGTGAAAGAAGGTTTCTATCATTGCATGCTCAACGGTCGTCTCGCTTCGATGCAAAGGCACGGCTACCTTTCAAGATGGCGCAGGGAACCGTGAAGAAGACTATGGTGATGCACATGCCTCAGAGTCATTCATAATAAAGCCAATGAATTTTGGTAATAATCGTTTCGCCGTCATAAGTCTGCTTTAAGTTGTACAAAATTTGGACACAAAAAAATTAAAAAGAAATTTTGGAGAAATTAAAGTCAAATCGTCGATCAAGTAAATAATTGTTACGCTTTTTGTAACGCTTACTTTGTTGAAGTTGCGTTACTTTTGAAGGTACCTGGATAGTGTGCACGTCGGTAGAGTTTTATTATTGAATTTTAGTTTGAAGTCGGAGATTTTGCACTTCGAAAAACGATTACCTTTAGTGAGCTAGTTGATCAATT